CGGGACCGGCAACGGGATCACAACCCTCGGTGTTGCTTCCCGCACCTCGCTCAGCCAGTGAGCGGCCGGTCTGTATGTGGGATCCGAACCCTCGGCGGGAGCACCACCACACTTCCCAAGCGGCGCACTACAGCAGTGCGCCACCGGGCCGGCCCCAACAAACAGCTTTTAAGTGTATAGATTGTTGAGTTTTGACAAATGTAAACGCCCATGTAACCACTATCCCAACCAAGATAACAAACGAGCATTATCATAGAGAGTTCCCTGGGCCCCTCTGTAGTCAGTTCCAGCACCGCACCGCCACCTTACTTCAGGCAAATACTGATCTGATTTCTGTCACCACAGATTGATTTTGCCTGTTCCAGAGAATCATATGAATGGAACCATCCAATATGTACTTTTTTGGCACCTGGCTTCTTTTGCTCAGCATAATGTCTGTGAGATTCATCGATATTTTTGCATACATCAGCAATTTGTTCATTTTTATTGTTGAGCAGTATTTAGTATATGAATACACCACATTTACTTATCCACTACAGTTGCTTCTTAACTGCCACCAGACTCATGGACTTTGATTCATTTTTCATACTGCTTCCACAATGAATTTTCTAAAATGCAAATCTACTTATGTCATTCATTATCTTAAACTCTTTCAATGGTTCTTTACTGCCTACAGAATAAAGGGATAATCTTCTAAAGAAGACATTCATGAACCTCCCACGCCATAGTACCTGACACCCTCTCAAAACCCACATGAACATACAATTACTTGGGCCTCCAATGCCATTTCTCTATTTAAGAGTTTTTACATGTGAATACATTCAAATAGAAGAAAAAAGTAAAAGTTTCAGGCCATTTCTGGAAGTAAATTCAGCTCCAAGGTATTATATGGCCTGGAGGATCTAAATGAATACAGATTAACCGTATACATATTGGAACTGACACAGTAAGTACTGAAATGTACTTCACAGTTATCATGTGGTCAGTGTCTAGTATATTACCTTGCCCTTTCGTAACATTATACCTACACAGAGACATGTCTTTTTTTTTTTTTTTTTTTGTCTTTTGTCTTTCTTCGTGACCGGCAACGAATCGCAACCCTCAGTGTTGCCCCCGTACCGGACTGGGACTGGCAACGGGATCACAACCCTCGGTGCTGCGCCCGCCCCTCGCTCAGCCAGTGAGCGGGAACCAGTCTGTATGTGGGATCCGAACCCTCGGCGGGAGCGCCGCCGTGCTCCCAAGCGGCGCACTGTAGCAGTGCGCCACCGGGCCGGCCCCTAAAGGCATAATCTTTTATGCATAATCTACAATCACATTAAAAATGAAATTTTAGGGCCGGCCCCATGGCTCACTCAGGAGAGTGCAGCACTGGGAGCACTGAGGCCGCGGGTTTGGAACCTACATAGGGATGGCCGGGGCGCTTGCTGGTTGAGCATGGTACAGACAACACCGTGCTGAGGGTTGCAATCACCTTACCGGTCAAAAAAAAAAAAAAAAAAAGAAATTTTTTTTTCCTTTTTGTCTTTTTTACTGACTGGTAACGGGATCGCAACCCTCGGTGTCACGCCCGTACCAGGGACCGGCAACGGGATCACAACCCTCAGTGTTGCGCCCGCACCGCGCTCAGCCAGTGAGCGGGAACCGGTCTCCACATGGGATCCGAACCCTCAGTGGGAGCGCCGGTGCGCTCCCAAGCGGCGCACTCTCCAGTGTGCCACCGGGCCGGCCCAAAAAAAAGAAATTTTATATCTTGCTTTTGTACTTACTTCAAGAGCATTTTCCATATTATTAGATTTTCATAAATATACTTTAATAGCTGAAAAAGTTCCAAAAAAAGATGCATATATCTACTAAGTTTAACACACTTAAACTTTTCACCTATAGCTGGGCATTTAGATTGCTTCTGAATTTCTGTGTTAACTTTAGGTAATGCTGCAATAAACACTTTCATGCACAAAAGCGTACTCTATATTTTGGATAATGTCTTTGGCATAGAGTCCCAAGATGGAAATTATTGCATTAAGAAAGTCTGAATAATTTATGGTTTTAATATATTTATGAAATATTATCGAATAGCACATAAAAATAGTTTTAATACCTTGGCTACCCTTACCCCTGTCTCCAAGCCTTTGTTCCTCAGGGACAATCTCTTTCATTATTTACTTGTTTCACTTCCTATATTTATACTACTCTTTCCCTATTTGTCAAGTATAGATATTATTTACTGATTTCCTGTTACAATAAATGAGAATTTAGTTCAATTACATCACTTCTTACTTCCTCTTTGAAATCAGAGAGAGGTTAACTGGGCAATGTCAAATAATATAATGTCATCACAAATAATTGTAATGTCAAATAAAATCTTTCTCTCTCAAATTTAGTTAGTATCTCTTTATATTAATATCCTTAGTCTTCCCTAATTTCTAATAGCTATGGCTTTACTTTTTTTTTTTTTCCTTTTTGTCTTTTTTCGTGTCCGGCAACGGACCGCAACCCTCAGTGTTGCGCCCGTACCGGACCGGGACCGGCAACGGGATCGCAACCCTCGGTGCTGCGCCCGCACCTTGCTCAGCCAGTGAGCAGGAACCGGTCTGTATGTGGGATCCGAACCCTTGGCGGGAGCGCCGCCACGCTCCCAAGCGGCGCACTGTAGCAGTGCGCCACCGGGCTGGCCCCAAGAACGTGTTTATGGCTTTAGTTTTACATTGTTATAGTTAAGAATATTTACAATTTATTTTGAACATAATAAAGCCATCCATGCTAATTGTTTTTGAAATTTAAATATTCAAGAGTGTTTATATTATGATTATATAAATAGTGTTAACTGAAGAAAAAGTAATAAGTTTTGATTATGCTTCCTTTCTACCAAGAACCAATATCATGACCCCTAAGTCATTCAAAGGAAAATATTCTACATCAAGGTCAATGGATTCCCTTACAACTTTGATTCCGCTTCCCAATAATAACAACCATAATAGATAAAGTACTGAAATTTATAGTTTCCTCAAAACGTGGCAAGTTCTAACTTGCCACTACTATCAAATTCCAATGCAATGCTTATGTCCAAATTTAAGACTATTATTTTTTATTTGAGGCCCAAAATTTTTATTATCTACAAAGAGTGCAAACTAAGTCATAAAGCATTCCCACCTGCCAGAGCATCTCGATAAAGCTGCACAAAGTGATTAAAGATATCCTTTGGCAAACACTTTTCATCCGGTAGACACTGTAGAAGAATGACTATCTCAGACTGACCCACCGCATGCATTCCCTTGGTTGTGAAACACCAGCACTTTCTGTTCACATCTATAGATGGAATAAAAATATAAAAATAAAGACATTTTCTCAATTCTTACTCTTAAAAAAGATGCACAGAAATCTACGTTACAATACAGCAAAGAAATCTATGTTACAATACAGCAAAGTTTAAAATAGATCATACCAAGTCCATATAATTCAACTGTAAACTGTCACTGCTTTGAGCCAAAGAACTACTGTAGAAAATAAAACTTGCAAATGCCCCTGACTCTTTTCTAAACACTTAGAAAAATAATAGGAAGGGAAGTAAAAAGTGTAATTATTAAAAGAAACATGTTATTAATAATTAAATAAACCAAACTATGTACCCTATCACTTTACCAAAGGAAATAATTACCTATTTAAGGCCAGAGACAACAACAACAATGAAAGCCAATACTGCAGTTTGGGCCTCAGGTTGTAGCCTATTTTTATGTACATTTACTAAATTTAATCTATGACCAAAATATTCTAGCTATTTTAATTGTAGTCTTTTCTGAGAGAAAATTCTAGATAACCAGCAATATGTCTTCATTTGGCTTCATGCTGTAAAAAATGTTGGAAAGAATGGCTTTTCTAGACTACTTACGTCCATCCATTCCTTTCCTTTAAGGCTGTGTAGAATACAAATAGCACAAGCCACATGTAGTCAAAAATAATGGTTAATCCTTGACACTTTCATTATTTGTACTCCAACACAATGGGATTCCCAAGGGAATTGAAAAGGATTCAAATAAATTATGAATACCACCATGTAAATCAAAAAAAGAAAGATCCCTTTCTTTCTCTTTAGTAATCCTTACTTTATGTACCTAAACATGGATTAACCAATGAAGATGCACATTTCAGGAATTCTAGGTTAGCTAATTTCTTTTTTTTTTTTTTTTTTAAAGATGACCGGTAAGGGGATCTTAACCCTTGACCTGGTGTTGTCAGCACCACGCTCAGCCAGTGAGCAAACTGGCCATCCCTACATAGGGATCCGAACCCATGGCCTTGGTGTGATCGGCACCACACTCTCCCGAGTGAGCCACGGGCCAGCCCTAGGTTAGCTAATTTCTAAGCATAACATGTAAATTGAAGTTTCAAGCCAAATATTTTAAAATCTGATCCTGGAAGGAAAGGTGGCAAGCATTAGTAAGTGGCCAGACATATAAGAGTGCGATTACCAGGTATGCCAGAAACCTACATTTCATCACTGTAGAACCTCTAAGTAAGTACTATATAGGTGTTTCTGGTTTCTGAGACCAACTTAAAACAAGTACACCGTGGGAACTGGAGGACTGTTCCCCAGAGGTTCCTTGTTTCCTCCAAAACTGCCTATGAAACTCATCTAGAATAAATGCATTTTCTATTTTCCAATACCATATTGGAAAGCAGAATCACGATTCTAAGTTTCTGTCCTCTTTCTCTTTTTATGCCCGTGAAGTTAGTACCAAAAATTAAAAAGTTTCTTCTGAATCTTAACTTATGAAGTATTGAAGCTTTACTATGTGTTAGTAAACTTTTTCCAAATAAAGCTTTGCACCATGATTATGTTTTCTAGGATTAAAACCTGGAGAGTAAATTGTTTGCCCTTCTGGATAATTTATCTACCAACAGCTATGCTGGTGGTGAGTTGTGACCTAACATACCAATCTGAAGAATTAACTCAGATCAGTTAAATATTTGTTTGGCATTCCTCCATGGAGAACTTACCTACCTCACTCCTGTGACAAAATGTAAGAGTTTAGTTCATCCCACAGTTGTCCTCTGGGACATATATTTTATACAAACCAATTTATCTAGAACTCAGTTTTCAGAAAGATGTGGTTCTCTATAAAAATACTTGTGTGTAATAAATTTGAAAGCTTTATTTACTATCTATGAGCAATAAAGCATCTCATTTTAATTTTTTAAAAGTTCTAACTTACAATTTACAATTTTAACCATTGACAACAAATTTGCATTTAAAACAAATACAAGTGGGTCAGGGCCACCATCCTCCAACTGCTGCATTACTGAAATCTGCGATGGTTTCTCTTCTACGGCATAGTCTGTAAGGGGAGAAAACAATGTAATATATTAGTTAAAGGGACAAAACAAGAAAGAAATCTGATGGAGGAAGAAGCTGATTATTCACAGGAAAAGAGATAAGCACTTGATTTATAGACAGGGTGAACACAGGTCCTAGTTTCTACTTGCTCTCCCAGTGTCATGTTAATAGTGCCCTCTTTTACTCTCAAAAGTGACCCAGTCCAGATTAGATGATAATATGGTTATCCTGTGTATAGTGCTCTCCCCAAAATGGTTTGTGCCATAGACTAAAGGCAACTCTTTTATGTAATAAAAAATTTCCAACTATCATAACAAGAATATCACATAACATATATTCTAAGACCAACATTTAAAATAACACATGATATACAAAAAAGTGATAATACACTAATTACCTCTGGAAAGAATATCAAGAAGTTGGGGCAGACAGGAGCCCTACATTTTACTGTATACCTTTTTGTACTGTTTGAGACTTTTGACCATTAAAAAGTTTAACTTTAAAAAATACACCCAGAAAATAAAAGTATCTGGTTGAAATAATAAGTGACTGGTTGAAAACAATTCCCCTAAGTATAATACAATAGTTTAGTACATATATCACTAAAATCACTAGTAAATCACACATCAGATTCTGAACATGGACAAGTTAATACTTGAGATTCTGAATGCAATCTTTCCCATTTAATCTCTGCAAGCACAGTATGGAATATTCGGCCACCTCATTTTGAATGATAGTGGTCCTCTCAGGTTGAAGTCAAAATCATGTGCAATAATTGTAGAGCCTAGAGATAAAGGAATTAAATTGAAAAGCTGAATGTTGCTTGGTTGCTCTTATATAAAATGCATCAAGGGATAGCCAGGAAGAACAAAGAAATACCACTTTCCACTGACCAGGAGAAAGTTAAAAATTGATTTTTTGAATGTAATAAAAAATTTCTACCTTATTAATGAAAATATTTATTGGAAAGAGAAATACTAAGTGATTTAATAAAAAGAAAAAAATTTATTAAGTTATCCCACTGGAATAAAAAACTGCAAAATTCTGGTGAAGAGATTGTAATATAATTAAATTAAGTAAATACAGATAATCAATTGTTTTTTCTTGGTAGAAAGGATTTTGACAATTAGATTTAATGTAACTTTTTATGTAAATGGAACACGCCAATCTGACTTATTTTAACAATACAGTATGCCAATTTAATTCCTTATTAATCTAAGATGTATTAAAACAACCAAAATTTGAAAACTAAGTAGCAATTTTACTAACAAAAGAATATTGTTAGGGGGTCCTGGTAAAGAAGCAAAGGCATTATGCAATCAAAAGAATGCTTAACTTTATGTCAAAGTTCATTGCTGCACTATCTGGGACACAGCTGGATTTGACACTACAATAAATTCAGCCAACATTTGCTAACAGCCTTCTATGGACCCAACACCAGGCAAGGAACAGAAGACACAAATGTATATTAAGACCGAAGGAATTCATGGTGTAAGTAAAACAATCAGACCTTTAAAACATCTAAATTACAATGAGAAAAGTGTTAATGTGGCAACCGTCTATAAGAATTGTTATTAGAATGGATATAAGGAAGCAAAACAACTGCTTTGCAGGATGCCTCATTAAGGATCAGAGAAGTGTTATGCATTAAGCTGGATTTTGAAAGGCTGAAGAGTTCTTCTGGTAGTCTAGAGGATAAAAGGGTATTCTAAGCAGAGAAAAGGAAGAAAAGGAAAAAATTACATGACTACTTCATATAAGACTCTTTCCTGTTACAAAACCACTTTGTGACACCATCTCACCCCAGTTAGGATGGCTAATATACAAGATAAGGATGCCCACTCTCACCACTCCTATTTAATACAGTATTGGAAGTACTAGCCATAACAAATAGACCTGCAAGAAATCATGGGTGGATGATCTAGTCCAAGAGTTTTTAGTTGTTTTTTTTTTTTTTTTTTTAAACAGACTAGGGAACAAATTCAAAGAGGCTGAGTAACTTGTCCTCTGGATCACACAGCTAGAATGGAATGGTACTGGCATTAAAACTCTGTCCAATTCTAAAGTTGACTCTCTTCCCACTACTCCACAGAAAAACAAAATGCTTGTAAGAATGAAAAGTGAATATTCAAAACATAGCAAATAACCTGCAGTATGCATGTAAAGTGCTGGGATAATGGCTAGAAATAAAATTGATAATATATGGCTGGAAAGACAGGTTGAGATAAGGTTATAAGGAACAATGTCTGCTAAGATAAGTAATTTATACTTAAGGCATTGGGAATCCATTAAATATTTCTAAGCAAGAGCAATATATGATAGTATTTATGTTTAAAAAGATAACAGGCATCAGTGTGGAAAACAAAAAGGAGAGAAAGACTGAAGGCAAGGGGACTAGGTAAAAGCCTAGGACAAAATTCAGGAGAGATTATTCATAAACCATCTCCTAAAGATGAACTGGCTGGATACTGATCCGGATATATCAACAACAAACTTTCACATAAAGTTAAGCATTCTTTTGACTGGATAATAATTTTACTTCTTACCAGGACTCCCTAAAAATATTTTTTGACAGTAAAACTGCTATTTAGTACTGTTCACATTATTAAATGTATCCTTCTGAATATATATTGTATATCATACTTCAAAACAAAAAGCTAAATTAATGACTGCATCAGAGTGGGCCAATACTAGAACCACAAGCAACTCCTAAGAACATTACGTGCTCTGAAATACTTTTTAAAAACTGCAAATAAACTACATTTATATTGTGATTAATATATCCTTCCAAAAAATGAAAACATTATAAAATAAAAACATAAACATCTACTTCTAAAACAATAACAGTTAACAATTGTTTTCATTGGCATGGGTGTAACTGCTTTTTTTGTTGGATAGGAGAAGGGTGGTAATCACTCAAATTGTCTCCTTCCCTTAATTAGAAGGCAACATTTGGCATATATGACCATCCCTGTCTAAGTATGTAAGGCCACATACCTCCTTTTACACCAGTGGAGATGAGAATGGGAGGAAGGCCATCTTCAGGAACAAGGTTCATTGCACTCCCAACAGGACTTCCAACCTGATTTATACTCCCAGAGAATAAAGAAATATCCGTCTAGGAAAAGTAAATCAGCAAAGTGAGCATTACACAGAGTTCAAGACTTTGGTAGAATATAATTAAGAATATAAGTGGGACTTTGAGTGAAAATTTGGAATTCACACTTTTGGAGACAGTACAAGAAACAAATTAACCTGTGGTTTCCCCGAAGGACTAGGATTATACAATGAAAATGTTTACAAATGTATAGGTTCTCCTTTTGGTATCATTAAATCATGGCAATATGAAGAGGCCTCATAGCCTGGGGTTAAAGCTTCCTTTAGCCAGGTATCTTTCGTTATTAAAAAAATGTATTTTTAAAAAACTGCAGTGGTAACAGAAACAAAATTTCAATCTTATTTTACAATCTCTGAACCTTTAATGCCTATAGAGTCTACTTAAAGTCTTATTTATATTGCTTTTAAAAATTAACTTCAAGGAGATAGTGATGACGGTTGCACAATAATGTGAATGTACTTAAAATGATAAATTTTATGTTACACATATTTTACAATAAAAAAAGAAAAAAATTAACTTTACTAAAATACAGATATCAAAATAGGTCATCATTTTCCATTTACTAGGAAATTATTTAAAACTCGAAATTCATTTTTCCTTGCATTAATATGTAGATCACAGTAGCTACACTTACTAAAGTATAATGTTACAAAACATTTTGGGTGGAGTTAAGACAACTTAATTCATGATTATTTAACAGAACATGCTCAAAACATATCAAAATGATGCTCTCCTCTCTACTTAAGCATATAACTTAAGCAAGAAAAAGAAGCTTTTAAAAAGTTAAAAGAAAAACATTTAAAAATTGGGTTTTAAAAAAATTTTTTTTCAGCGGTTTTCATTGGGCTTGTTGGCCAAATCCCCCCTACACTCGGTGGGATGACTGGGGGGTACTCTCTGCACTTAGCGCCCCAACTCCTTAGACCCACGCAGAGAGACACTGCAGTAATCACCAGAGAAGGGCACTAGGAACAGGAAAAAGGCCATCACTCAGCCTCGGTCACCTGAGGGACGACCTGGAGGACTCCCTGGCACCACAAAGGGCCAGAGAAACTATCACAAGAGTACTGCCCAACAAGGCACAATCCACCAGAGACAAACAAGGGTCGTTTTCCCCATCAGAGGTCCCCAACCTTGCCAACGCGATGAGACAGAGGACAGGGGAGCAGGTCGGGCCAGATTCCTCACCCCTGCCTTCCACACACCACCAAGAGGTGGGGAGGAGAGGCGAGGAACCCACAGGCTGAACAAGAAGAGAGGTCCCACTTCCCATGAAATGTCTGTTTCTTGCTTTGTGTGGCTAAGGCCCGGTCCAGGAGAGCTTAATGTCACCCCATCGATCACAGGATAAAAATAGTTTTTTGACACATAAAAAAATGCTCATAGCAGCTTTCTTCATAATAGCCACAAACTAGAAACAATCTAAATATCCATTAACAAGAAAACATTTAAACTATGGTATATCCATACAATGGAATACTACTCAGGAATAAAAAGATTAATTTCTGATGCATACCACAGAGGTGCACACAATCTAATATTTATGCATAAATCTCATAAATGTTAGGATGAGCTTAAGAAGCCAGACACGAAACATTACGTTTCCATTTATATGAAATTCAAGAAATTCATGAAAATAATGATAGAAAATCTGTAATGATAGAAAATAATGATTACCTTAAATAATGGTTACCTTGAAGAGGAGAGGAAGGTACTAACATTAAAAATGCATGAGGGAATCTTCTGGAGTAATGGAAATGTTCTGCATCTTCAGCTGGGAGGTGGTAACATACACACATATATACATATGTTTGTGTATATATATAGTCATTATATATAAAATATATTGTATATATAGTCATTGTATATATATACAATATATTTTATATATATATTATCAAGTTGTTTCTTAAACACTGTTTAAACACTTTGCTATATGTATTTTATACCTGAATAAAGATTAAAATTATTTAAAAAAAATATGCCCATGTCTGGGTTGAGCCCGTGGCGTACTCGGTAGGGTGCGGCGCTAGGAGCGCAGCAGCACTCCCGCTGCGGGTTCAGATCCTGTATAGGGATGACCGGTGCGCTCACAGCGCTCACTGGCTGAGCGCAGTGCGGCCGGTCTCCAAAAAAAAAAAAGCTCATGTCTTGCCATACTTGCATCTATACTATCTATAATTTAGTACTGTTTTTAGTGGGTTTTTGCTAAAACTTTCCAGTGTAGCTAGTATAGCATCATATAAGAGGAGATTTGGAAAATTTTACTGGTAGACCATCATTAACTAATTTGAAGGCCTGGTACAGGAAATAAAGCAATCTATTCTAACCTGCTATTTAGTGGTGCATAAATCCTCCTTTGAATATCATAAGAAGTAGTCACTTGGCCTCTACTTAAGTATCTTCTGTGAAAAGAAATTTACTTCATTTATTGAGCACCTACTAGGTGTCAGGCACTCTACTAGACCATAAAAAGGAGAAAAATATATTCTAGTCTGGTGTTTAAGAATTTGCTTTCTTTCTCTTTACCAGGTAAATATTAAATTAGAGTGTTGAACAATGTGAGAGCACAGAAATAAAATAATTACTTGGTTTAGTTTCTCTTCTACTGAGCTGAACTTTGTTTCCCTATAATATCCATTCAGTAGAGTTTCCTCATTCATTCAAAAATATTTATGTTTTAAGAACCTATCATACAAACTAAGAGATATAAAAAAAAAGTAACAGAAAGAAAAAAAATTATCATCACCTCATAAGCCCTACAATTATAATTGATTCAGGCAAAAATTATCAAGACTACTATGAAACAGAATACTCACGGTCTCAAAGTTTCACCCTCATATTACTTATTAATTGCAACAAGAAAAATATATTCTTGCAATGGATAAACACAGCAGATATCATATTAACCAGTTATCAAACTAACTGACACTTCTTGATGTAATCCAGTAATAAATAACCATCACTTATGTATTATTATTGTTAATGCATCATTTATTTATTACTATTATTTCCAAAAATATTTAATCTGAGAAAAAAGACAAGTACAAATTGAGGACATTATGCAAAACATGACCCAAATGCTTAAAAAATATTAATAATATGAAAGATTAAAAAAGGTAGGGGAAATGTTCAAGATTAAAGGAAACCAAAGAAACAAAACTAAATGCAACTGTAATCCTTGATGAGATCCTGATTTTTAAAAATAAATAAATTTTATTTAATTAAAATATTTATATATCTGTGCACACACATGGATGCATAAATGAAAGTTAAAAAGAACACTATTGGGGGCCGGCCTGTGGCTCACTCGGTAGAGTGCGGTGCTGATAACACCAAGGCCACGGGTTCGGATCCTATATAGGGATGGCCGGTTTGTTCACTGGCTGAGCGTGGTGCTAACAACACCAAGCCAAGGGTTGAGATCCCCTTACCGGTCATCTTTTTTTTTTAAAAAAAAGAACACTATTGGAACAATTGGGAAAATCTGAATATGGATTATATATTTGAGAATAGAATTATGTTAAATTTCCTCCTCGTGTAATAACTGTATTGTTATTACGTAAGAAAATGCCTTGTTCTTAGGAGACACAAGCTAAAGTACCAAGTAGTAAACTGCAACTAATCCTCAAATGGTTCATTAAAAAAAAAAAAAAAAAAGCATGTGTGTGTATGTGTGGAGTGGTAAAGTAAATGTGGCAAAATGATAACAGCTGGTGAATACAGGTAAAGAATACTAGTCCTGTAACTTTTCTGTAGGTTGAAACTTTTCCAAATAAACAGTTGGGGGAAAAAAGAAGAAACTTTCATGACAAAGTCATTGTGGAGATACAAAGAAGGATGAGACATAGTTCTGGTTCTTGCCCTCTGCAGCCATAGAAAAATACCAATAAATACTTCAAAACACCTGAAGACAGAGGTGGCATGATTTAATGCCTCTTCAACGAATAGGAAACTCAGCTCTTTATGTCAACAAATCTAATCTTAACAATATGCAATTTCTTTTTTCTTTATTTTAATTTATCAATATACAATATAGTTGATTTTCATGTCCCTTTACCAATTCCTCTTTCCTCCCTCCCCCCCAACATCATATCTATTCAGTTGTCTTAACGAGTTCAAGGAATTGTTGTGATTGTTGTGTCTTCTTCCCCACCCTTGCCCCATTTGTTTGTATATTTCCTTATTTATTTTTAGCTCCCACAAATAAGTGGGAACATGTGGTATTTCTCTTTCAGTGCCTGACTTATTTCACTTAATATAATTTTCTCTAAGTCCATCCATGGTGCTGCAAATGGTAGTATTTCATTTTTTTTTTATAGCAGAGTAGTATTCCATTGTGTAGATATACCACAGTTTCCTTATCCACTCATCTGATGATGGACACTTGGGCTGGTTCCAACTCGTGGCTATTGTAAATAGTGATGCAATAAACACAGGAGTACATGTATCTCTTCGGCATGATGATTTCCATTCCTCTGGATATATTCCCAGCAGTTGAATAGCTGGATCATATGGTAGATCTATCTGTAATTGTTTGAGGAACCTCCATACAATTTTCCATAAAGGCTGCACCATTTTGCAGTCCCACCAACAAAACAACATGAGATTTCAATTACAACCAAATCCACAAATTATGTGGGAGGTAAATATTTGAAAAAATATTATTTAACATAAATATAAATAACCAGTAACTAACAATTCTATGAAACTTCAGGAGTAAAAAAATTATCTAGTCCTAATGTAAAATGTGGACTTTGAGTGATTATGATGTGTCAATATGGGTTCACCAACTACAATAACTATACCACTCTGGTGGGGAATATTGATGAGGCAATGTATGTGTGGGGGAAGGCAGTATATGAAGAATCTGTTCTCTCCTCTCAATTTGGCTGTGAACCTAAAACTTCTCCAAAAAAATAAAGTCTTAAAACTTTATCCAAATTTTTATCCTCTTATTTTTATTTTTTATTTTATTTATTTATTTATTTTTTTGTCCTTTTTTGAGACCAGCCACATTGCGCTCAGCCAGTGAGCGCTGTGAGCGCACCGGTCATCCCTATATAGGATCCAAACCCGCGGCAGGAGTGCTGCTGCGCTCCCAGCACCACACTCTCCCGAGTGCACCATGGGCTTGGCCCTATCATCTTATTTTTAAAAAAGATGAACATGTGTACTTAATTCGAATTAACATCCTTATAACCTTGGCCATGAAATTCAAGGCACACACATACTAATGTGGACGATATTGACATTAATGAGATAGAAATAAAACATATGTATTTTGCAGGACCAAAGCCTATAGCTTAGAAGGCCAAAGCCTGTAGTTTAGAGGATCAAAGGCCTTAGTTTAGCCTGTAGTGTAGAAGGCCAAAGCCTGTAGCTTAGAAGGACAAAGCCTGTAATTTAGAGGACCAAAGTCCTGTAGTTTAGGAGGCCAGAGCTTCTAACTTAGGTGGCCAAAGCCCAACCCTTTAGGAAAACACGTAGAACTGCTAAGATTAAGAAAGACCAGAAAACTTTCACAGGACTAAAGCCTTTGATGCAGATAAAAGAACTGAAGCACAGCAAAAAGTGATTGCTCAGGGGGCAGTTGCCCCTGGTGCAGCTAAACCTAGATGTTTGGAGAGTATGCAAGCTAAAAATCTTCCACGTTAGTGCTTGAGGGACGTTCCACATCTTGCCCTTAGCTATTTCTTTGAGTTTCTTGGGGATTTAAGCACTTTGGTGATTATTTCACTGTTTCTTTTTGTGTATCACATAGCTTGGTTTAATGACTCCTTTTGATGGTAAATTACTTTAACTATTTTAAGTTACGCCTGCTTTAATGAAGACTGTCATACAGCCGGTTTGTTTATGTTTTCATTATGATTGATTAACCACCTGTTTTTCTTCTGTAACTTTCTTGTCTTTACAATAAAAACTGAAGCAAAAACTGACTTGGGGCTTTTCTTCTGTAACTTTCTTGTCTTTACAATAAAAACTGAAGCAAAAACTGACTTGGGGCTTTTCTTCTGTAACTTTCTTGTCTTTACAATAAAAACTGAAGCAAAAACTGACTTGGGGCTGTGCCTGGGCTCTCCTCTCTTGATGAAGTTTTCCCTTGGTGCAGTCCCTACGGGGTTCTCATTGCTCTGAATACATGGGCTCTAAGTAATCTTTTGTGTCTTTATCACTCTGCAAGAGGTGAAATACTAAATCGTGTGTGTATGTATGTGCACACACATACATACTACAGGGTTCCACACAAAAGTCGCTCTACTTAGAAAAAGGCAAGATAGAGACAGCACAACACTGAGTACTGGTACTCACTTTAAGTTGCTATTTTGTTTTCTTACCTCTGCTGGTAGAGGACTGGTAGTTACAGGTTTGACTGGGTCATGCGACACAGCCAGGGTTCCTGCAGAGGAAGTTCCATTCATTGTTAATTTGGCTGCATCAGCAACTTCTCCATTGGGCAAGATTCCATCAGCAAACCAAACTCGCCTCTGCTCTCTGGGCTGAGCCACTTGAGGGGCCAGAAAAATAAAACAGGCATCAATGTGACACTGGTAGGGTTTCTAACATCAAAGAAGAGAAGGTCACCCATTCCAGATGTACAAAGAAATTGCTGGTTGGCCAGTTAGCTCAGTTGGTTAGAGCACAGTGTTATAACACCAGGGTCAAGGGTTTGGATCCCCTTACCGGCCAGCCGCCAAAAAAGAAGAGAGAGAGAGAGAGACAGATTGCTATTTAGTATCTTACTATTAGAAACATCAGAACTGTAACTCTGTGTAAGAGTGGCTATAAATTAATAAGAATACACACTTAAATATATTCTTTACTTCTGTAACATATGTAAAGACTTAGAACACTTTGCTTTGAAGTATTAAGAGTTCTTAAACTTATCTATGATTATGTTATATACTCTGACCCACATCACTGACAGAAATTAAGGAAAGTAAGTGTTTTAAGTGCCTAGGAAATAAACTAATAACAGGAAAAAAAAAATCTAGCAGTAGACACCACATCTCTTAAAAGTATAAGGTTTCCAGAGAAATTAAATATCTGGAAAAGTGATATGATACTTTTAGAGGGCAAAAGATGCCCTGAAGAATGTCAAAGAATAATTAATTAATAAAGAAAGAGTTGGCACAGATATGTAAGAATTCCGTGCCACTGACCAGATCTTTGGCTAAAGTGTAAATGAAGAAGAAAAAGACTGATCTGGCAGCTCAAAACTAGTTTGCATTTTAGTAAAAGGACAGGGAAAAAGCTGGAAAATTGAGTCTGATGAAATGATCTCTTTAAGTCATTTTGGAAATCCATCAATCAAAACAAAGAGTGACTAGGGAAGAACAACAAAAACAATGAATGAAGTAAAGAGAATAAAGATTTTAAGAAAGAAAGCTTGAACTTCATAAAAATATAAGGAGTAGGGCTAAGGGATGATCTGAAAAGAGGGAAAAATAGGGAAGAGTACGATAATGTCAATAGAAGTCCTTGATCTTCAAAAAGGGAGGCAGGCTATTTAAATGGCAAGGGGGAGGGAATATTACTAGATGAAAAGATATAAAATGAATGAAAGAAGATTGATTTTAATTATCAAGGGAAACTTCTTGACAAGACTGTTTTAAGGAAATATATAATTGTTACTTTTACTATTCATAATCCCCTGAACTTACGGAGTGCCTTTCGTCTGACAATATCATAATCACAAAGATATAAAAAAAAAAAAAATCAAAATAAGTTGAGCCTATCATTTTCTGCCTATCATGTGATACAATCATAATTATATTTCTGGACTTATAGATCTATATACCTAACACAATACTTTCATATTTTTATATGGATAGATTAAAAATGAAAAGAGAAAATGGCAACGTGTATTCTAAAAGCAATATCAGAATGGGCTGGTCAGAAAGAAGAACTTTCATTTTCATCACTTACTAAACTCCTATAAAGAACATTAAGGTAGGCATGAGGCTAGGATTTTACAGGCTGACTTCAAATTCTGCACCTCTTTTCAAGTATAGGCAGAGTAATTACTCCATTCTTGAATTGGAGAGGAAATTGGCATATTTTCAGAGGTGCTTCCAAAATATCAGGCAACACAATATTATTATTTACTTGCCCAGAAATAGTCTCAACACATTTCTCACCTTGTTCTTCCACTTAATAACCACCTAAAGGGACTTACTTATCTGCAGTGTTTTAAAGACTTGTGCTGTAAAGTCACTCAGCACATTTTCAGAGGAACTTGGTGAGGAAAAAGAGAGAGAATAGCACATGATCCCCTACCTTCTGCTCCAGGGTGCTTTAAAACTCCCACAGGTACCATCACAGTGGGAGGTGGAGAGCTCAGGGCTCCTGAGGCCTGAGCTTGCTGCAAGGGAGGGATAGTAGAACAGTATTCAGCAGGATTGTTAGGGTTAGGGCTCTGGCTTGAGGCACTCATCATGTTCTCCCAGGCTTGAGCTAAAGCAAATACAGACACAATCAATGTGAATGGATTGCAAAATATGGACATCAAGACCTCCACAATATTGGATAAATAATGCAGCTCCTCCTCACTAACACTAATAGTATGTCTCTCTTCCAGCTAGTGAAGGTATTAAGGAAATAGGTGATTCTTATTCAATAAAGGAAGCCATTTAGCTAAGTAAACTATCTGGTCGAACCAAAAAGAATTACATACTTCTGATACAGACTGATTGCAGATCAGTCTGAGTTAAAAGACTAGGTCCCTGGCTTCTTTAATGGAGACCAAATTTTCTCTTAAGAGGGAGCAAAACATCGAACTTTAAGGATTTACAACTACAACTAGGAGAGCATTTAGGTACTTTTTGGCTTATTTTAATATTTAAAGTGTTCTATCAAAAATCAAAATCAGGGACTAAAATAGCATAAGTCACTGAATGATTTTTAGTTTCATTTCTAGACTTTTAGGCTCTTCTTCGTTGAGATAAAATCTCATTTGAAAAATTCTGAAGCTTAAAGCTCCAAACACATCTCAACATTTTTGTGACTTCTGCTTTTATGTAATCATCACCCCGTATGAAAATATCCAGCAATAACAACCATTTCACATCTCCGGAGTGTCTTAAAAGCACAGGACCCATTTGAACATGAAAATGTGCCAATATCATATAAGTGTGATAAACCAATATGAATGATCACTAATACACTTAAGATTCTGTACACTCTTTAATTTTACTAACTAAATACTGACATATCAACTATTGTCTTTAAAGTAAATAGGATGAAAGATGCTATAGAAATAAAAGATATCAAATTCTATCTTCTAGGTTCAGGTAATACCACATGCCCAGGAACAGAAACCACTCAATTTTTTAATATCTTTTCAAAAATTCCATTCAACATCAAAGAACGATAAGATTTTGAATATTTATTGCCTCTAAAGTACAAGACAAGGCTAGTAACAAAAACTACGTTCCTTTAAAAGCACTGGCAGGAAGAGGGGAGGAAGAGAAAAGGAGAAGGGAAAAAAAGGATAGGGAACACTGAAAAGCATCAAATTAAATATTCAGTAAAAGACTGGGCTAAGCCATGCGAGAGGAAAGATGCTGGAAAAACCAGGAAAAGTGGATTACCTTAGGATCCCCTGTTAAGGGCTTCCTTGGCTTAATAAATAAGATTCCATATGAATCCTCTGCCATTTCCTTCATCTTTAGCTATGTCAAGTTTTTAAAAAATAGCTATCAAGTTGGAAGACCCCATCAAATAAAAGAGGTATCAGGTACTGTAATTAAGCAGCATGTTCTTGTCTGTGAATATGTGTCCGAAAATGAAAGCAGTGGAATAAAAATCATCAGTTGAGAACCAAATGAAATAACCATCATCTAAAAGTAACCCTTAAGAGTAGAGAGAATGATTTATATTTGATCAAAATTATAAGAATTCAGAAATGGGAGGAAAATGGGTGGATTATAGGAGATTAGAACAGATCAGATTAACTGACATGCAATAGGTTAATAAGCCAGCAACAGGAAAACATCACTATGAGCAATGCAGACAGACAGAGCAGGAGGGGTCTCAGAGCAGATAAATAAGTTCCAGCCTCCAGGAGAAACACTGTCCTGGCACAGGCAGTACTGGTGTCCAAGCTCAACATTTCATGTCTTATTAGTAATTGTTCTAGCAATGTACAGAAATGCATTCAAAGAGAAAATATTATAGCCTGATGAATTTTACTATATCTCTTTACAAGAATACTCAGGGTTTTTGTTTGTTTTTTAACTAAAATACCCTTGTATTCATTTCCAGTCCACAAAAGATGAACACTGGATAAGTTTTATTTACTTTTCTCTGTCCATATTCTTTCACCACATAACAACTAAATTCAAAACCATTATCCTTATAACAAGTCTAGGTAGCATTAAGGAGATAATTGATAGAAAAATGTAATTTTCTGCTTGATGCTACATGTTAAAATATTTATTTTGGGGCCGACCCGGTGGCGCACTCGGTAGAGTGCGGCGCTTGGGAGTGCAGCGGCGCTCCCACCGAGGGTTCGGATCCCATATAGAGACCGGTCTGCTCACTGGTTGAGCGCGGTGCGGGCGCAACACCGAGGGTTGCGATCCCGTTGCCGGTCGCGGTACGGGCGTGACGCCGAGGGTTGCGATCCCGTTGCCGGTCGCGGTACGGGCGTGACGCCGAGGGTTGCGATCCCGTTGCCGGTCGCGGTACGGGCGTGACGCCGAGGGTTGCGATCCCGTTGCCGGTCGCGGTACGGGCGTGACGCCGAGGGTTGCGATCCCGTTGCCGGTCGCGGTACGGGCGTGACGCCGAGGGTTGCGATCCCGTTGCCGGTCGCGGTACGGGCGTGACGCCGAGGGTTGCGATCCCGTTGCCGGTCGCGGTACGGGCGTGACGCCGAGGGTTGCGATCCCGTTGCCGGTCGCGGTACGGGCGGGACACCGAGGGTTGCGATCCCGTTACCGGTCACAAAAAAAGACAAAAAGGAAAAAAAAAATTATTTTTAACAAGATGAAAGAAACAAAGTGTTAATAAGAATGTGCTCTAAGTTATCAAGGTGTTCCCTAGAAAAAGAAGGCTTCTCTTGAAAGGAAAACCTCTGACCAATTTTAATTCCTCATCATCTATGTGGTCAATAGCTCCCCATCCCCACACTACCTTGTCATTTCACAGGAACATTAACAGCTATAACACCAGATTTCCAAAGAACTTTCATTATTCTTGCAAAACTTACCTGGCTTTAGTATTCACTCATTAAATTAGGCACAGGAATTCTGAAATGCTAAGATACTTTCAAAACATGGAAATTTACCTCAATATTTCCAGTTAAAGTTATGACCTTTAAATATGTAGGCAACTTGTAGAAAAAAAACATAGCCTTTTCATAGGAATTCTCTTGAGAACAATATGTATGAAATCAACCTGTTTAATACTTACCATTCATTAGCACTGAATGGCAGATTACACACACTCTAGCTTCCTTTCTGTCCATGTATAAGAGTTTACATTTTAGGCTACAGCAGGAAGCACAGAACACCTGTGGGGAAAAAAACACACTAAATTTACACAGGATCACAATGCAAAGGGAGTAAACCAATATTGATCAATACTGATTGACAGTGGACTTTATTGGAACACAATACTAAAACTTCAAAAGAAAATGCAGGGCTGGGGCCGGCCCGGTGGCGCACTGGAGAGTGCGCCGCTTGGGAGCATGGCGGCGCTCACACCGAGGGTTCGGATCCCATGTGGAGACCGGTTCCCGCTCACTGGCTGAGCGTGGTGCGGGCGCAACACCGAGGGTTGCGATCTCGTTACTGGTCAATAAAAAAAGACAAAAAGGAAAAAAAAAAAAAAAGAAAATGCAGGGCTGGCTGGTTAGCTCAGTTGGTTAAAGCGCAGCGTTTTAACACGAAGGTCATGGGTTTGGATCTCTGTACTGGCCAGCCAAGATCACACTGCAAAGACACAGTAGCAGCAAAAAAAACCCCCAAAAACCCACCTTGAGTTAACCTTAGGCAAAATTTCTATGCACAGTATCACACAACATGAGCACTTTAAGACAGTTATATCTCAGTGGTTACCGGAGGCTTGGGAGGGGAAAGGGGAAGGGAAGGTAGAGAGAGGTTGGACAACAGGTACAAAATTACAATAAGATAGGTGTTCTGGTGTTCTATACAGTAGGGTGACATGGTTAACAGTTAAGCTTTGTATATTACATAATAGCTAGATGAGGGGCTTCTGAATGCTTCTGCAACAAAGAAATGATAAATACATCAGGTAATGGTTACATTAATTACCCTGATCCCATCATTCTACAACATGTATATGTATCAAAATGAGGCAATTCATGTAAAGTGCCTAGTATTCATGAAGTTTGTCATGAACTTGAGCAAGCCATTTAACCATCCAAACTTGTTTCTTCTTATAGAAAATGAGGATAATATACCCCCTGTTCTCTGTACATCAGTTATTTTGAAAATGTAAAGACCTTTGAAAACTGTAAATTGGTAATAACAGTAGTTAGCTATATTAATTATAACTAGTAGGAAGGGAGATGATCTATCTAACTTTGTCTTTAATATTACCCCTCATTTCATGGTTCAATACTTCTTGGCCATAAAAACTGGAGAAGTAGAATTTATCCTACTGGGAACAGACTTCTGCCTCTGTGATAAATGATTGATGAGTACTAAAAAAAAAAAATCTTAACAGGAACCCAAGGAGATTCTTGTTGCCTGGTGAGGAAGGAGAAGGAAGTGAGATTATCAGAAACTAAGCCCAGAAGGTGGAAATGAACTGCTGGAAACTGGCATGGCCGACTCTGGTTGCCTGCTCTGATTTACTGTAGCTGGAGCTGTATTTATTTTTATGATTGAGTTGTATGTTTTGATCCCTGGCCTTCGTAGCAAACCAGTGATAATAGTTTCTACGGTTAATATTCCACACATAAGGATAGTAAAAAACAGAAGTTAAACCCAGAAATTTCAATCTTTATTTATTTCATCCTGATATAATTCCCTTTCCTGACAGAAATAGCAGATATAACTATCTTTTTAAATTTTTTTATTCATTTTAATTGATACATTGTACTTGTACATGGTGTGTATATACACAATGGAATACTACTCAGCCACAAAAAAGAACGAATTTGCAGCAACATGGATGAGCTTGGGGAAAATTAAGTGAAATAAGTCAGACACAGAAACAGAAATATCGCATGTCCTCATTCATAAGTGGGTGCTAAGAAGGATGGATGGAAGGAAGGAAGGAAGGAAGGAAAGAAGGGAAGAAAGAAAGAGACCACAATACCACACAGAACTTTCACAAAGAGAGAACAAATCTACCTTACTAGATGTGGGAAAGGGCGGGGGGGGGGGGGCACAAAGAATAAGTATGATTTGTAATAATGAATATTACATAATGAATATACATAATATTACATAATGAATATGGTAATAATAATGATTTGATCATCATATATTGTACAGAAATAATGATAGTCAACTATCCCAAAAGTATGTATAATCAACTATGCTTCAATAAAAAATAAATTTTTTAAAAATAATAACAAATAAGATAAAATAAAACAAAAACAAACCATAAACAAAATAAGTGCTGTTTAATAAATAAATAAAAATTTAAAATAAAACTGTTTGCAATTGATGCAATCAGAAATCACTAACTTTAGGGCCGGCCCGGTGGCGCACTGGAGGGTGCGCCGTTTGGGAGCGCGGCGGCGCTCCCACCGAGGGTTCAGATCCCATGTGGTGACCGGTTCCCGCTCACTAGCTGAGCATGGCGCGGGCGCAACACCGAGGGTTGCGATCCCGTACCGGTCAGTAAAAAAGACAAAAAGGAAAAAAAAAAATCACTAACTTTAACATACTATGAATTGATTTTTTTATATTTTCTATAATTATCCTGTAAATAGCATACTGATATTGCATTAAAAGTTTTATGTGTGTGTTAAAAAGTACTTATAATAGGTAAGCAAGTAAAATAGATCTCTATTTTTTGTAATCATATTTCTGGCCATTCTTCATTTTTAAAACTTTTTATCACAGAAATTTTCAATCACACAAAAGTAGACATAATAGTAAAACAAACCCCCAAGCTCCCATTACCCAAATTTGAAACTTATCAAAGCCAATTCTCACCCACTTCTCTCTCCTCCATCTGATCATTTTGAAATAAATCTCAGCTGTCATTTCATATTTAAATATTTCAGTATATATCTCTAAAACATAGAGACTATTTTTAAAACATAACAATACCATCAGCATACTTTAACAATTGTGTAGTAACATCAAATATCCAGTGTTCACATTTTCTATAGACATATTTTTATTAAATTTTTATGAACACATTTAAAAAAAATATTTCACTTTTTAATGTTATGATTGAACCAGGATTCAAATAAGGTCCATGTGCTGTAATTGATGAATATGTCTCAAGTCTCTTTTATTATATAGGTTCCCCTTCAAAAATATTTTATGAAGAAACTGTGTCATTTGTCCCCTTTCCCACAATCTGGATTTCAGAGATTGCCGCCCTGTGGTGTCGCTTAATGTGGTTTTTTAAACTCTGTATTTCTGATAAATTGGTAGTTTGATCTAGAAATCTGACCATATTCTGTATGACTTTTTAGGCAAGACTATTTCATAGATCCTGAACTGTATTTAACTGAATCAAGACTAAGAATCACTATAAGAATTTCCAAAAAAAAGAAAGAAAAAGAAATCACTCAAAATTGCACCAATTAAAATTACTTGGTTTTTATTTTACATGTTCCCTTCAGAAATATTTGTTTGTATGCCCAAGAATAATTTTATAATTACAAGCAAAGCATGAGTTTGAATTATATTTTATTAACATGTCATCATAAGCATTTTCCATACTGCCTGATAATAATTATTTTTAATGGCTGAATCAAATGTATGTATCATATTTAACTTACCATTATCTGATTTTGGATATAAACTATTTTTATTGTATTTGCTAATTCTAAGTAATACTAAAATGGATATCTTTTTGTATCTTTTTGATATAGCTCTTGTTCTTTCAAAATTATTTACCTAAAAAGGAATTATTAGCTCAAAAAACTGATACAGATGGCTTTTTAAATATATAAATATGCTGGTTTCAACTTAACATCACCTGCACTGAGTATTATTAACATCTTCTCTGTTATATAGGCATAAAATTTTAATTTCTACCACTTTGATACCTAATAAATTTAAATATTTCTCCACTGCTTACTAACCCACTTAAATATCTTTTAGCCCACTTATATTGAAAATATGATGGTTTTAACAATATGTTTGGATGCTTTATATAGCATAGACACTTTGTCAGTTGACATTCTGTAACCAGCTTATAATTTGTTCCATCAGAGGAAGCACTGATTTAGGACTGAAAATACTACTCTGTGTTTTTCCAATAATTCTGGTTTTTAAAAAATTGTGACCAACCTAGATGAAATGGAAAAATCTCTAGAAACACAAAATACCAAGACCGAGTCAGGAGTAAACATAAAATGTGAAGAAACCTGTAACTAGTAAGGAGATTGAATCAGTAATCAAAACCCTTCCAAAAAAGAAAAGCCCTAGATCAGAGGGCTTCACTGGAAAAATCTACCAAACATTTAAAAAAAGAACACCAATCCTTTGCAAACTCTTCAAAAAAACCGAAGAGGAGGAAACACTTTCTAACTCATTCTATGAAGCCAGCATTACCTTGATACCAAAGCCAAACAAACACACTACAAGAAAACTACAGCCCCGTATCCCTTATGAATATAAAATACTAGCAAACTGAAGTTGGCAGCACATTAAAAGGATTATACACCATGACCAAGTGACATTTATATCTGAAACACAAGGATAGTTCAACATATGAAAAATCAATCAATGTAATGCACATAACAGAAAGAAACAATAAAAACACATGATCATCTCAACTGTTACATAAAAAGAATTTAGCAAAATTCAACAACCTTTCATGGTTTAAAAAAAAACACACACACACTCAAACTAGTAATAGAAGGCAACTACTGCAAAATAAAGGCCAAATATTAAAAATCCATATCCAACATCATATGCAATGATAAAAGACTGAAAGCTTTTCCTTCAAGACAGGAACAAGATAAGGTATGTGCTTTTTGCCATGTCTATCCAATACAATATTGTAAATTTAGGCAGAACAATTAAAAAGGGATAAAAAGCACCCAAATTGGAAAGGAATAAGTAAAATTATCTCTGTTCACAGACAAAAAAATCCTACATGTAGAAAATACACCAAAAATAATTCCACACCAGGAAGAAAAAAAAAAACCTTTTAAAACTAAAAAACAAATTCAGCGAAAACCAACATGCAAAAGTCAGTGATATTTGTATACACTAATAATGAACAATCCAAAAAAGAAATAAAGGAAACACTTCCATTTACCATAGCATCAAAAAGAATAAAATACTTAGGAATTAACTTAACCAAGGAGGTGAAAGAACTTGTATAGTGAAAACTGCAAAAGACTGC